CCCTTCACATGAGCAGCTACTGACAGGAACTGTTACAGTGCAGTTTCTGGCAATGAACTGTCAGTTGTTGCGTTAGCATTTGATGTGGCGATGGTGACAGTTTGTCACCAGTTGCGTTCAGGAAACCTGGGAGATTTAATATTACAATAATGGCAGGTAATCGAAATATAATTGAAAATGGCCACATTACATTGAATTCGATGCAATATATGAGCAAAAGTAAAGGAAAAATAAATAATATTTTTTTTAAAATAATGCAATGAAATTATTTAGGGGGGCTAAAGACATATTTAGGGAGGCTGAAGCCTCCCTAAAATAGGCCTAATGACGCCGATGCTGCTGCACTTACACTGTTTAGGCACTCGGACGCACATAATTGTCTAACATGTATTCATGAATGCTATTTATTAATTGCATTTATTTATTTATTTATTTTTTCATTCATTGTATTCTGTAAATATAAATTAATACATTCTAAAGCTTTGGTGTCAAATATACTGCCCGCGGGCCGGAACTGGCCCCCAAGGAGGTTCGATCAGGCCTGCAGGATCATTTAAAAGTGAAAAAATGCATAAAAGACACGGAATGAATATTTTTAATAAGGTGCAATTCATGGAGTATCCGCTAGGGGACACACTGTTTTGATCAGAGTAGAAGACAACATTGTTTTGATCAGAGAAGAAGACAATAGCAGTCTCAGTCTGTTACTTAGACAGACCCAACACAGCAGATGTGAATACTTTATTCTTTACACATTTAATAGCATTCTCCTTAGTTTGTAAGGTGTAGGCAGGGATTAAATTTACATTTTATGTGCACATGTGTAAATGGTTTAAAAATTCGTTTCTTTATACATCTCGTTTAATCTTAAAATGCATTACTATATTTTTCAATACCAATTACTTGTTAAGGTTTTGTGACTTTGTACAATCAGTGCGATCAGTTGCAATGCATATATGTGAATGATAAACGTAAATTGCACATTTGTCTAAGGAAATCTAAGGTGCTTCATGAAATGTTTTGTAAAAGATATGTTCATTAAATTTCAATATTTTCCTAATGTTCTTGTGCTTCTTTAGACCAAAACTAAGGAAAGACGTATTATTTTGGTTATTTATAGCAGAGTATCGTATAATTTTAATGGTCCAGCCCACTTGACATCTACCGAGGCTGTATGTGGCCCACAAAGTGACATGAGTTTGACACCCCTGTTCTAAAGCCCGATCAGGGACTAAAATTGCAAACACACTGAAGCTCGATGTTTTACATGCATCTAATTGTCCCAATTTTAAAAGGGAATGACTTATATATTTGTCGGACACTGGACTGTCTTGTTAAATGTTATTTATTCCTTTGTTGTGTATTTACAAAAACCCCCACCCCCATAGAATTTATTTTGTAATTTCCTCACTTGATTTTCTGTTCTGGTGGATTATTTTCGATTTTCTTCGTGTCTGTCATTGAAGTTATCGTTAATTTACGTTTTTCGGAGGCGGCCCTTGAACGTCTCTCGAGTCGAATGCCAGTAGAGAAGGCACTGGGGAGCTGCTGCTCATCTTCGCGCTTATCTTTTTTCAGTGGTGCAGCGCACTAAAAGGTCCAACTAGAATGTTATGCCAGGCACTAGTTCCACCTTTTGCGTCGGCGACTGGGCACTACTGTATAGTCTACATTCGGGG